GGTTGATGCCAACATATTATTATCTCAATTTTCAAACTAAATATCAGATCCTGGTTGTAGTAACTGGTCCAAGGTGACAAATCTAGTAAGTGGCAAGTAATTACTTCATGCCTGCATGTCTTTGTTACTAATTCTTTATCTCTGAGGGAGCAGTGACTAGAGTCTGTCTTCCTCATCTTTGTGTATATCTTGAGGCTTGGTAGAGCAGATAATTAATAAATATGTATAAGATGATAGAATTATGCAGATAATATGATGGTGAGACAGCTTTTTTGCATATCATAAAGAGTGTCATGAAATATTGAAAAACTTTCTGGTAAGAATTGCACATTTGTACTTGGTTCTAATTAGAACAAATAAAAGAAAGATGTGTACTTAGCTGAGGAAGCTGTCAATGTAGCTCAATCCCAAAGAGTAGTAATTGAATACATGATTCTTAGAAAGGTAATTGTGTGAAATAGGTGAGCTAGTACTTATAGCATTGTTGGTGGGGTTAATTATTAGCCTTGCTTTATTGACACTACTAGATTTAAAAAATGTAAAAAAAAAAAAGGCTTCTAAAATTATCCTTCTCTCAATAATATAGGTAATCTTACTGTTTTCTAACTTGCCTTTAATTGAATATTTTTGTTGCATAAGAAAGAAACAAAACAATACTATCATAATAATCACAGTCATTAAACAGAAAGGAGAAAATACACACAGGCAGTAATAAATAAAGTGGTGACCAGACACAATGCAACCATATAACCACTGTTGAAATTTGGCTGTATTTATTTTCCTGTTATCTAACAGGCATATTGAATTACTGTAAATGTGGTGTTTGAATCAGCCTGTTTATTTGGGATGCCCAGACAACCTGAAATCTATTTCAAAACTGTACGCCTGGAAATATTGCAGCACCAAAGGTTGATGGTTTATATCAGCATTTCCTGGAGATTTATTTAAAAACAAATGTTAAGAACTAATTCTTTATCAATGCCAATGTCAAAGCAATAGATTTCTGGGTATGTTTTGTGCTTGGCTAATGTTAAAGAGAGGAAGTGGAAAAGTGTATTTTCTTTTATGTACAATTTTCTAAACAATGCAATTTTCATAATATTTTATTTAATATTGATGGCTGGATTAAATACTAATAGTCTAATGGAGTCTTTTTCTTTCAATTTGAAATTAATCATTAGTGTCTTTACTTGATTACTACTACTATTATAGGTTTTTTGAAACCCTAGACATATTAAACTATATGTATTTTATCTCTTTCTTTATATACAGATAGATATATTAGTTTGATGGTTTATTTTTAATGCCTGAAAGTTATGCTGTGATTCTGTTGTAGTTTGAAGGTGAGGTATTTGTGGTCAGTTGTGTATTTTCTTCCAAATGCTTTTTAACATTTTTAAGTTGAAAATTTATTTTCTTAGGACACCGAATTTCATTGTCTGAACAACTTTTCTCCCATTTTGTAGAAATGTCAATAAAGTCTAGACTTCTGTAGGAATTCTAGTTTGCAATCAGAGTTACCTTTCTACCATATAGCAACAAAAGCTCTCCTTCAAGCAATTTAGAAAGGCATTTCGAGACAACAGGCAGCAAGATAGTTTCTCTCAGTATAGGCAGTATTCTACTGGTAAGTGTTTTATAAGGCTGTGTATCTAGACAAATAATACTTCTATATAGAGTTTTTAATTTGTTCTGCAGACACACAAGTATAGTCATACTATAAAGTGTAAAACATCTATTTTCAAATTTCTAATAAATGTAAAGTCAAGGACAAAATAGTAAGACATGTACATTAAAGAACATTGAACACAACTAAAATTTATACGAATAGTAACTTTTCCCAATTTTATTTTAAAAATATAAAGCTGTATTGATAATGTTTTTAAAAAATTATCTTTAACAGATGATTAAAAATTATATTAATTCTTTATGAAAATGTTTTTAAATGATAGCAAAGTAATTATATAGTTGCCAGCTTTCTAGGCAACTGGAATTGTGTGAAATGTGGGAGAAAAAAAGTAAGTAGTTGAACAATTCTAATTGAACAAAGCATTTTTGAGGTCTCTGAACAGAGGAAGCAATATAACATGATAATTAAAATGAAATTGACAAAACAGGTCTGGAAAAATCCCCGGAGGTCTTTGTGATTGATTATGTATTTTCTTTTATATATTTTAAATTTTATTTATGATGTTTTCTTTATTATAAAATATTCAAACAAAAATATACAAAACAGTATAAAACCACTGTATTTTTATATTATTTCTGAATTTTTTAAGTAAAAGGAACAGGATAAAACATATAAATTTGAATTTCCCCTTCCTTTCCCTTATATTATACAGAACCAACCAATAATAAAAATGAAATTCCGATTGTTGATTCTATTACTAGATAGGAATATATCTATAAGCAATACGTATTGTTGATTGCACGTTTGATTTTTTTGAATTTATTTTTCAAAAATGGAGTTTCTGTCACCCAGGGTGGAGTGCAATGACACAATCATAGCACACTTCCACCTCTAACTCCTGGGCTGTAGCGATTCTCTCGCCTCAACCTCCTGAGTAGCTGGGACTACAGACATGCTCCACCATTCTCAGCTATTTATTTTTATTTTTATTTTTACTTTTGAGATAGGGGCCTTGCTTTGTTGCTCAGGTGGGTCTCGAACTCTTAGCTTTAAGTGAACCTTCCACCTTGGCCTCCCAAAGTGCTGGGATTATATACATGAGCCATGGAATAAGCCAATGTTTCATTTTTATGTCAAAGTTATTATAAGTTTGCACTTTAATTGTACTTTTAATAAGTTAAGTTCTAGGTCTGTTTATATTGTTATAAATAGATCTAATTTTTACAATTTCATTTGGTTCATAGTGTTTGATAACATAAATAGATAACCATGTATTCATACAATTTTTTCCTGCTATTCATTGATGACATATACAGTTTTTAAGTCTACAAATAATAAGGCAAGGTCTTGTCTCTGCCTCCTGAGTACTCATGTACAAGTGTTTCTCGGGAGCTTGATGGCTATTTGCTGATTCAAACTTTATAATCTTTTTTTTTAAGCTTTATTAGCTGCTGGAAAATTGATTTCAAAAGATGGACATGTGTTTAGTCTAATCAGTAGTATAAGAGCATTCTTGACTCTGAACATTACCAAAGGCAATGCTACTTAATGTGAAAGCTTTTTGTTTTGTTTTGTTTTTAAATTTTATATTACATGTGCAAGTCTTACTGTGACATTTAACTTAAATTTTGAAGCAGACAAATGTATTAATCATTTAATGTAAATGTTCCTAATTTGTCACATATGTGGAATTATTTCTATGCAACAGCTCAACGTAGTATTCTTTGCCTGTAATCCCAGCATTGTGGGAGGCCTAGGTGGATGAATAACTTGAGGTCAGGATTCGAGCACTCTAGCCTGGGTGACAGAGAGAGACTTTGTCTCAAAAAAAAAAAAAAAAAAAAAAAGGATTGTCTTATGTAGTATAATAATAGATGAATAATGAATTAGATGAATATATGAATGTATAAAGTGTGTGTGTTTGCAGAGAATCTTCCCCACTCACCTGCTAATTTAATAACTTTTTGTAATAATTTCTGACATAATGTATATCAATTTTCCAGTTTTGTTTTTCTGTTTCATGAATGTATGGACTTGTGGTTTTCTAGTTTGTCTGGTTCTTTCAAAAAAATGTCTTTTGAATTTTGATTGAAATAGCATTGAATTTATTGAGTAACTGAATTGTTTTAAACATTGAGTACTCACATCCCTGCATATAATTATTGATTCATCATTGAATTGCATATTTTGTCAAGTACCATTTGGTAATTATTTTATTAGATTAATATTTAAGTAACATTTGGGAGTAATTATTATCATATTTTATCATATGATATATAATGTTTTTACTGTTGATGTATAGAAATGCTACTGCTTTTGTTTTTATTGATTTTTTTCATTCAATCAACCTTGTGAAACTCAGTATGTTTTTAAATAGTTGCTGACAGATTTGTTTGAATTTTCTATATACCCAACTGTATTTCCTACAAATAATAATTATGTTCTTTCTTTTTTTATGACGTTTTTCTTAAGTTATGTTCTTAAGTATGTTACGTTCTTACTCTACTGGATGAGAGTTTCAGGATAATATTGTGGAGTAAATCAATTATAGATATATTTGGTCTGCTTTTTTCAAACTCCAGTTATTTTTTAACTCACCATTTATTTATTTGTGTTGTTTTCATCTGCTAATTCAGCCAAATTAATTAAATTTTTAAAATCATATTTTATTTTTTCCCAGTTGTAAATGTTTGTATTTTATTTATAATTTTACATGACTACTTTTTATTTATTTTTTATTTATTTATTTTTTTTTAAGGAGTTACAATAAAAATCTTTATTTAGGTTTGGTCAGTACAGGTAAGATATACTGGAGTCACAGAGCAATATGCATTAACAGGATACAACAGTTCATAAAAACTGAGTAACTATGCACATAAATTTCTTAAACATTCAGTCACCTAAAGAGAAAATGCACAGATGTATGGTGGAAAAAACTGTATCTAACACTGAAACTACTACAGGACTCCATCAATGAGTCCAACTTTTAGTGATAAAAAACTACTGTACTGGGCAAACTTGGCAGTCATAAACCCACATCTACTCTAACAAGTCTGAATGGTGCATAAGTACAGTAACAGCATGAGGAAGAATGCCCTTACACAGCACAGGTTCTAAACAGACATAGATTTATACAGACGTCATTGTGTTATATTTTAAGGAAAAATTTCCATTTACAATTTCACATTAACTCATATAAAAATAACTTGACCCTACACAAAATGTTCTTTTAGCAACATTCAAAGTAATTAACTGTTACAATTTCCAAAGTGGCAGAGGTATTGAAGCAAAAAAAAA